ATTTGATTTGATAGGCTACTGGCAGATAAGAGCCAAAGAACCACCTTGGAAATAAAAAAATCAAACTGAAATAAAAATAAAAGATAAAATAAAGATAAAATAAAAAATTAATAAAAAAGAATTTACAAAAATACCAAATTATAATTTTCTGAAATTTTTGCCTGCTCAATCTTTTTTTCTGTAACATCTATATTATTAAGAGATGTACTATCGCTTGCTGAACTTTCCCAATGAAACATGGAATCTTTTGCTGATCTATCATCTAAAATTATATGCGCTTTCGATTTAATCAAAGTTTTTACCAAAAAAGATTGAGGCTGAGATGTCGACTCAGTTGAGCATTTATTATTAAAAAAATTTAGCACAATTGAAAACACAAATGAAAAATATTTAATTTCATTTTCAATTTGAGACACAATCTCCAATAATAGATAATTCTAAAAACAAAATCAAAAAATAAAGCAAAAACAATTTAATAAGTAATTAACCACTTGTATTTGAATCCCAATATGCCTTTTCGGTTTTCTGGATCATGCTTTTCTTCCGTCTTTCAATCATTTCTTTTTGAATTTTACGTAACGACTTAGCTTTTTTTCCATGGATACTTCTTAAAATAACGATTTTTAAATGAAGGCTGAGAATAAGGAATCAATTCGAAAATATCCTAAAAAAAATATTTTGCAAATATACCGAGCAAGTGGTGCTTCACCGATCTCTTCTCTTAGATCTTTTAATTTTCTTGCCAGAGAATTTGCTGAAAGGAAAGGATGTGAAAATATATTTTCTTACAAATAGAAAAAAATAAGAAATATCTAAAAGACCATGGAAATGTCCTTTTCAATAAAAGTTATGAGCAAATGTCCTGACCATGTGCCTCTTCTACCATTTTCATATCTCTCTGAGGTATCAGTTTTTCTTCTTTGTTCACTTGTGTCTCCATTTCTGCCACTCTTAAGCCTATCGCTTGGTTATTTTTGCTCTTCATTTTTTCTCGTTTGTTCATCCGAGTCTCCTTCACCCTTGAAACATTAACAGAATCTGAATCTGAAAAATGATAATTGGTATTATTTGTTCTAATGATCATTTAAGATATCCAAAAAGCTTTCCAAAGCAAAAGCTCCATTTATATGTTGTAAAATGTAATAAAAAATTACTTTCAAGATAGTGACTATTAGTGGAATTATTTTTAATATCAACTTCTTTTTCCCTTTCTCCATCCTCGTCAGCCATAGCCAAATATAAATTTTCAATTTCAGTAACAGCTTTTTCTACAAAGTAAGATAGATAAAATGGAATATAATGATTACTCTCCAAGAAAAATACCACATGCCAAGAAAAAAAATTAAAGGATTCTATCATTTTTCACAAAAATCCACCTACTATCTCGCTTCTTTCTTGACAAATATGACAAAAAAGCAAAAAAGTAAAAAGTAAAAAAGAAAAAAAATTTAAAAAACAATATCTTTTAGGAATAAATCTTAAATAACATTGTAAGCATAAATAACCATTAAAAAGTGAAAAAAAATGAAAAATGATAAAAATAAATAAAAATGTGATTGAATGAACAAAATGGAATAAGAATTGATCAAATTGAAATTTTACAATAACGAACCATCATCACTGTTGTCAGAAATATGTTCTTCACATAGTGAATCATTCAAATTCGCTGAATTTCCGCTTTTCTTCGATAACAAAAAATTACATAATTTATCATCGTTCTTATAACGATTTAAGCGCCTTTTTAATGATCCTGATAAATTAATGCGTTCTACTGCTGAACCTGAAACATCAGTAATGAAAGTGATTAAATCATGCAAAAGAAATAAAATGACAAAAAACTATAACTTTCAGGATAAAAAATTCAGTAAAAAAATCCAATTTATTCCAAAGAATTTAAAGAATCTCATGCAGAATTTTAAAGGAAATTAGTTTCAAAATAATATTTGAAAAAAAGACGAAAATTTGATATTCTCACTTAGCTCAAGAAGAATTTTTAGAATATTAGTACAATGAATTTTATATATTTGTAGCACATCAATCTTCGATCTCATCTCTTCGACTTTTTTATTACTCTTCTTGAATGCATCGAAATGCTTCTGAAAAGGCCGCGATAAATATAGTCAAAAAAATATAAATCAAAGAAAATTGCCCAGAAATTTTGAAAGATTTTCCTGCGAGTGAAATGAATTTCCAACATATTGAGATACCTTAGCCAATAGAGCACTTTCTTGAAATCTGGAAGACATTTCCATTCGAAGTCGTGCAATTTGAATTAATCCTTCTTTTAAGGTTTTATTTTCATCCTGAAGTTTTACCACTTGATCCGCCATTTCCTGAAATGAATTTCGAAAAAATGCTGTAAAATCATTGAGTAAGATGAAGCAAAAATGTTTAATGGAATAGTTAATAGTCAACAAACCTTGTTTTTGACTGACACAGCAATTATTTGATTGTACTGCTGCTTAAGAGTATTGTACCGTTCCTGAAAGTAATATAATATAATATAAAGTAATATAAACATAATTGAGAAATATAGTAAAAACATAATAAATATAGTAAAAACACTGCAACTAGAAAAATTAGAAAAGTTAAAACTTACTCGATAATCGTTACATTCAACAACTAAACGACCGCGTATGGCTTCAATTTCAGCCAAATAAGATCGTCTTTCCTCTATATATTGGGCCTGTTCCATATTTATTCTTTCTAATTGTTCACATTCCTAATTATCAGAAAAACATTTAATGAATTAGAAAAACATTCATTTAAAAATGAATTAGAAATAAAAATCGAGGTCTCATGAAATTTGAAAAAAAAAATTTTAGAAGTAATTTATCAATTTATTTTAAAAAACGATTTTAAAAAATTATATTATTATAATAAATTATATTAAAAAAAATTATATTATTATATTAAATTATATTAAAAAAATATAATATAATATAAAAATATAATATTACAAAAATACAAATTCAAATTTATTCAATAAGAACCAAAAAGTTCTACTACAATTGTTAATTTCATTCTTTCAAAATATTTTACATTCGAAAAATTATCAGATAATCACTTACATGCGAATTATTTATAGGTAAATAAACTAAGCAATTTATTCAACGAAATTATATTAATTCTCAGACATATTTAAATAAAAAACACCACAAAAATACTTTGACTCTGGCTCGAATGAGATTCAATTCCGCCGTAAGCGTATTTAAAGAAAGATGTGCCGTGATACAATTTTTAGTTAATTCATTACAATTCTTGCAAGGATAGTTTGGTATTAATCCATCGAATTGCGTTGCAACTTCGACATCTTCATGCATTCTGATATCCAGTTCCTTAAAAAATCATTTAATCAATTGATTAATAGATAATTATAATTAGTGACTGATAGAACTGATAGATTATGAATATTAAAAGAGATTAAATAAATAGAAATAAGCAAAAAATCGCCAAATATTTTTTATAGAATTTGCAAAAGATAACTGATGAAAGATAAAATATTTTATAATATTTCATAAGCCAAACTAGTGCAAAAAGAAAAAAAAAAAAACTTAAACGAAAGAACAACACTAAAAACAACCATTTAATTTAGAACATTGTTCCTCCTAGCTTTTACAAAAAAAGCAAGGAAGAAAGAAAAGAAATGCGCTGCATATGCTGAAAAATATTTGATGCCCAGGATTATATCCGAGGATAATCAGTCTCGATATGTTATGGATAAAAGGAATATATCTGCATTTTTCTTCCATTCTATGAATCTATCCTCTCTTGGACTTTCACCTGTGGTTGGGTTATTTTAGAACGCAAGGATTACAACATGTACCCTACGTTTCTTTTCTCCGAATAGTGTTCAGAAAATGGGATATAATGGCTTCGCAAAAAGCTAATATTGAGAGTTCGATTTCTGCTTCTGAACAGGAGAACTCATTAAAAGTGAAATTCAGGTGGTGCAATTACAATGATTAAAATACCTACAGGTTCCGCACCAAATAACGGAGAAGTGGTTCAAGTGTGCACTCAGTTTTGCATATAAAACAAAATATAGTTTTTAATGCAGCAAAATAAGTCTTGATTAAATGCATTGGTATGAAAATTAATACTATTTCGAGTTTTGACACTTTCCTAAACACCACAAATTTTGAGTCGGATTAAACAATGAAATGAACCAGTGAATTGCATTTAAAGAGAAGAAGGATTGGTAAAATAAAAGAAGAATCATAAATGCATAAAAGAAGAAAAAAGTAATGAAACAGAGAAAGGATGGAACGAATTTCTTTTCAATGAAGCACGAGAGGAAAATGATCGAACCGAATGATGGCCGACTATACTACTAACACAGACATTTAATTCCACGACTGCTGTCTCCAAAGGAGCAAAGCTTTCCTAAAAGAGATCCGTTAAAGGATTTCCATGAGCAAGAGATCTGCCAGCGAAGCAGTAACCTCTTTAATAACTGGCAATGGAATCAGCCGAACCAGAAATCACCAGTGTTATTAGAAGGCGAACTCTTACAAATATAAATCTCACAACACCTTATAATAAGAGCTTGTAAAATTATGAAAAAACAACCTTTCCTATCCCGTGTTCAACCATTCTTAATTTATAAGATTTCTTTTTACTTCAACAAGAAACAACCAAAAATTGGCATAATGCCATAACGATTTTACTGAAATCACAAAATCGTTTCAGGAGCAAGCATTTCATTTCGGAGGAAATTAAAATTTTCCACTTTTAAAAAAAATTTCTTTAATTTTTATCGTTATTTTCCGAATAGCGACGAGTAGTTTCTCGTTTCGTTGAATCTTTTGATTGAGAAACAGGGAAAGTGGGAGCAGTGTGAGTGGAACTGTACGTGGTACTCTGCACGAATCTGTCGAGCAAGCATAAATAATGAACAGTCCATCTGCCTCAGTCCCTTCACAAGAATCTTGTTGTTGCATTATTGCTTTTTGTTATGCCTTATGTCTTCGTTCATTCATTTACTGATAGGGAATAATATGGCAACGGGTTTAAAGGTACATTATTGATATATAAATTAATGATGAGGAAATAAAGAAAATAAAGAAGGTTGTAGGAAGAATGCTAAGAATACTGTGATGAGAGGACAGGATTGGTGATTAGTGATAAAAGATTTATACAACTGCTGTACTCTAAAAGTTGTCAGAATCGAGGCAAAGAAAGGAAATGAATGAATATACGAACTCTCAGCGATCATCGAAGAATGCCTTCATTGCATTTCTTGCATTTATTTTTCACCGTTATATCTATATTTTGCTTAATTTTTGATCCATTAAGGATCTTTTTTTAAACCAGTGTTTCCCTTTTTTTCAAATCATAACGGTAATGATTGTTTCACTTTTTGATCAGGCTTAATATATATATATATAAATTTTAATATATATATAAATTTTTTAGATGGCAGCTCCTACTGAACGTTTTCATGTTTTGTCTCAACTGGATCATTTACAATCGAAGTACACTGGTACTGGTCATGCAGATACAACACGTTGGGAATGGCTTGTTAATCAGCATCGGGATACGTATGCTTCGATTATTGGTAGCCGTTTCAGTTCTCCTTTCTCTAACAGTTGTTTTTGATTTGGCTCGTCCATTGCTTATTAGAACGAGGCCTTTTCATCACTTGGAGTTAGAAGCATAGGAAAGTCCAAAGATAAATCTTGGTTTTACTTTTGATGGCAACCTTATTCTGTTCAGTCTCATAGAAAATTTGAACCGATGTCAGTCCACTCGGCTGTCCTGTGCCTATCTTCTATATTACTAGGAATAATTTATTTTTTGTAACACCGGATGAATAACATTAAATCAGCAGGTAAAGCATTCAAATAGCTTCACCAAGCAAGTAGGTGTTTTTCACAGTTTTATTAAATTATTATGCACTTTAAATATTAATAAAAGATTGAAGAATTAAGTATTTTATTTTGTTATATATATGTTAATTTTCATGTAGGTGATTTCAGTGAAGCAGAATAAATGATAACCTTAGATCCATTATAATAAATTAAACTGGTAGCTTTAGAAGCAATTTTGAAGAATATTTTAATATTTTGAATAAGTTTATTAAAATTCCATAAAATACGTTCTTACTTTTGATTTATTCTCGAGGAATTGCAACTGTTGCTAAGAAATGTTGCAATGGATTAACCAAATAGACTGAACAAGTTTTTAATCGTATCTTCTCAGATCTTTTTAGTTCTCAAAATCATTATCGATGAATGACAAAAAAACTTAATTTATTTGAAGAAAAATAATTGATCATCGATTTTATATAGCTTAGATTAAAAAATATCCTAAGAAAAATGTCGCACCTATTATCCTTAGGTGAAAAAAATTCAAAATCAGTTTTTGTACTGAATCAGTTCATTCATATTTATGTTATCTTTAGAAATTCTTAATTCACGAAAAGATTAAATGGTTTGCAGATTTTTTTATTATTGCAAAAGAATATTACAAAAAATTAATAAAAATAACGGTAAGAAAAATATCAAGATTTCTCTATTTTTTGATTTTATCAATTGTTAATTAATAAATTTGATTCATAATAACATTACTGTTATAACATCACAATCTTCCAGTTGTTAACTAGAGTTGTTTCATATGATACAAATATAAATTAAAACAATTTTTGTATTCGTTTTTTCTTTTTTCTGATTCAATATGTGAATATCAAAAGCGGAAAATTTTGCTTTTTCCGATTATTTGATTTCACCGAGGTTTTCTTTAATTGTATTTCAATAAATTTCTTTAAGTTTTTAGGCCATCCAGATCACCTAACTTTAGTGGCTATTTGCGAAAATGAATCGAGAGCAAAAGTGCGATTCAATTTGATCAATCAGATGATTTCTCCATGTGGTCCTGCACCAGAGAAATCAATGTTGGATGATTAACTGTTTCTCCTTCAATTTCTTGCTTAAATTTTTTTATTTCATTGCTCTTAATTATGGTGATTAAATACAACACTTTTTTTTTGTTTTTACGGAGTCTTTATCTTTTTTTCTTATGAAAGATTTTTTTTCACGGTAAAATAGAGTTTAATATTATTAACAAATAATAATAGCACTATTCTTTAATGGTATTATTTTTAGTTGTCAAAAATTTATTGAAATATTACTGAGAATTTGGCATCTTCATTACGTTCTTATCATTGCTAATTTCATTACGAATTGTTTATTGTTTTGAATTTATTATTTATTTGTTATAATCATATGATTAATATTAGCCTTGCTTACTTGTTTAAAACTTTAAAAAATTATAAAAAAAATTGTCAAATTAAATCCGCAATGATTTAATTGTTACTGGAAATATCGCTAAATTTATATTTCGTAATATTTCGTACTAAAATATTATAAGTTATATATTATAAATTCTTTAAAATTTATTTACCGATTTTAGATGCTGATCAATTTATTAAGGTAAACGGTATAAATCGTATAATATAGAATTATATTATGTAATTCGTTTATTAGAATTCTAGCCTGATTTTAATTTTTGTTAGACTGATATAAATCAATGAATGCTGACATTTTAATTCCCTGAATTATCGAAAATTTTAATCGATTTTTGATTGCAAATCAATTAAAGTATTCAAATTTCACGATTCAGATAGACTAGTTGATGATTAAATATTGCGTTGTCGAGGACCAATAATTATATCATCATCCGTAGGAAATCCACAGTGAATTTGAAAGGAAACAGCGATGTCTTCACATTTTCCCGATCTCCAGATAAACCATTCATCATCTATTAGTTAAGAATTTATTCATATCGAAAATATAAAATTTTAAATTAAAAAAAGCATTCAAATTTTTGAAAATCACTTGAATGATCTTTATGTAATTAGTTATTTTGTTTTTCAATGGTTAAAGATGAGTAATGATAAATGCTAAATAAATAATTGTATCTTGAACTTGAAAGAAATTGTAAAATTGAATTGCGATATGTGCGTATTAAATTCAAGGTACACACAATATGGCTGAATGCCTGTTGCCTAAATAGTTATTTGAAGGACTTGAAGTTTTATCAAGTGGCTGTGTAGCAAAATTCTATCTAACAGTGGAATGCATTTGTGGCGAATGGATCAGGCGAATCAGAATTCGAGTATTCCAACGCATATATAATAGCAATATAAAAACAGCCATGTAAGTTATCGAGCTGAAGGATATTCTGTAACCCACTTAATGAAGTCAGCCAACGGGAAGTTGGCTTAGCTGGAACGTCAGAACGTTTATATATTTAGGGATACAGGTATATAGGGATATAGGGATAAAAGTACCACATTCCGTACAAAGATCGTGTGGATCACTAAACCTTTCGGAAGCTCGACATAATCGTGAGTCCAAAGCAGTGATTGTGCGTGATTCAAATAAGAATTAAGAATTAATGAAATCATAGTGGTATTTCTGATAATATTTTGAATTATTATCAGTGAGAAATGGAGTCGAGATTGGCTCTATTGTATGGAGTCCTGATGACCATTACTCTGTACCCACTATAAAGGCAAATTTTGCAATATCTAGGTATTTATGCTCCTATGGTTTATAAGTATAAGCTACGACCGTAGGTTCCCAATAGGTTTGGATGTGGGCGATGATTTTGATTCTTTTCTTTTTGATTGATTTTTTATTGATTTTATTTAAAAAATAGCGGTTTTCTCTTTCAAACTTTTGAAAACTTATAAATAGCGTTAGATCTGGAATTTTTGATGTAAGAATTAGTCTAATTTTACTAAAAACATTACCCAAAAGTAAGTGGTCAAAAAAGGTTAATCAAACCTATGATTTAAACAAGGATGGAGTCGAATTCTGTGCTGAATTATGTTGAATTTAACTTGATAACAGCATCTCTCCCAAAAAAGCATGAGCTTCTTCTCCTGAGAGACTGAATTTTTTACCACAAATACTCGCTTTCAGCATTGCATGAGACATCTAATTACATAGAATTCATCAATGAAGCAATATTCCAATCAGATTTGACTACATCTTCGTCAGTCATCTTTGGAAACTAGCAGTGTCTACGAATAATTATGTTGCGGTTAGAGCCAAGATCCGACAATGCGACGAACATGGCGTCCCTTTTTTGACTATCTCAAGCCAAAATTCAAAAGAAGGTTAATTCAGTTTCAAAAAATTTTAGCAAATTTCAAGCTTAGTTACTAAAATACCTAAAATACCTAAAAGACACTGGAGTTTAATTTCTGGGATTACCGAGGAATACCAATGTTGAACTCTTGTCCCCAGGAATCAACCAATCCAATATAAAATGTAATAAGGCAAGCTAGGTCTGGAAACGGCCAGTTGTCCAATCGCTCTGTCGTGTGTCAGGAGATACTAGTTATTGGCACTTTCATAAATTGTCAACATTGGCGAAAAACGGAACGACACTGGAGTGATATGGCATTGAATATGCAAAGTGCAGCTTGAGTAGGCGATCATCGAAAATTATCTCGTTTACTTCGAAGGGGAACCGGAGAAATCAATGAAATGAAGAGGGATAAGAAAATCCCTAAAGCAATCAAAGGTCGTCTTTCCAAATAGAGTTCTTTGAATCTTACTTAGTTACGACCATCCAATATCCTGTATATAATTGGAATATATTTGATTGCAGCTGCGAATCAACAAACAGTCACGAAGAATAATCTCTCTAATTTATAAGCTTAAGACAAAACCCTGGAGAAGATGGAATGCGAACCCAAGTTTCGTTTTTCACATAGATTTTCGAGAATCAGTTTGCTTTTAAATTCACTGGCTATATTCAATAATATGAGAAAATATCATGTGACTGGGAGAAGGCTTCCAATTTTCAGAGAGTTGATAAGGTCTCATTGTAACACTTGCTGAGAAATTTATTAAATATTTCTGGGAATATTTTTGCCTTCCTTATATTAGATACTGGCAGTGCATGACTGCAGGACGCGTTTGACCAAACCTAATTTATGGCAGGCGAAATCTTCACTCTGAGAAAGATACTGGAATACCGTCTCAAGTAGCTATAGCCTACCGTTATCATCAACTCTCTGATGAACAGAGCAGCTTTCTAACAAGTTATATACAATGGTGCTCCAGAGAAGATAATTAGGCTTATTAGCATTATTATTTTTAACTTGTTTTAAATTATTATTTCTTTTTAAGAAATTATACTTTGTATAGGTGAAAGCAAATGAGAAAAATGGCTCAGTAGACTTTTGCTCAGTTGGAGTGCCGATGGTGAGATTCTACAAGAATTAACCTGTCCTTCAAATCCGAATAATTTTGGCGACTTGGCTGTACTTTAAGTTATATCGTCGAGTGACTCTCTGGAAAAATTTGATCCATCTGATCCAGCAAATGCCGACGGAGTGAATGCTCTTAGAAAAAAAGGAAAAATTTCGAGACTTAAAAAATATTTTTAATGATCTCCTAAAATCCTATAAAATAGTGCTAATTAACGGCTATGATTTTCTTGATACATGGTACTTACTTGTTTCGGTATATTTCTTCTTCAGATTATCGGATGTATTCAGCAGTAATTTTTGCAAAAATATTTTATTTGAAAAGTGGGAACGGCAAAAAACTAAAAAATTGTGATGTCTGACCTTTCTGCAGTGAGTTGTAGTTATGCCACCTCACACATGAATATGCTGAATTCGGTATCTTAGAAATAACAGAATCTCGATCGGCACCGCTACATTGTATGTTGCAAATAGTTCTGCCTGTGAAATTTAATATGAATTCACGCAATATTCCCAATATTCAGTGAAAAAGATGTTGAAGTCTAACCGATTTTATTACTAAATGCGAATATAATCATGCGATTGCATCGGTGATGTGCCAGTGATTATGCCTCATTCCTCTTCATTTATCTGAGAAGAAAACGATGATTTGGCGATTTAACGAACGTGATAAACAACTCTTTCTATCTTTAACTGGAGTTGAATAAAAGTCCTCTTACGATTTAGCGAGATGGCTTTTAGGCTCCATGGGAAGGAAGAAAATGCAGAAGGGAAGAGAAAGGAAATGCATGATGAAAATTGCAGCAACGAGGAACATTGACGATACGTCGTTTTTTTTGCATCGAGCTGCGGATTTCTTTGTTATTTAATTATTATCAGTTATCTTTAAATTTTTTAATTCATTATCCATATTTTAAATAAGCTGTTCAGTTGTTCAAATTTGATCCTCTGTAGTTAAATTGCACCATAATTGTTCTGATCCATGAGTAGTTCTGCTTCATTCGCCTGGATATTGACTGCCTGGACATTAACGGTTTTCTTTCTAGAAATTTTTCCACCATAATAGCTTCTTTTAAATTCGCTATACTTGACAATCTGCATTGTTTTCTTCATGCCCCTTTAGCTCCTTTGCCATGGCCCATTAGTAATATTGTCCTTATTAGATCTAAATTTCGTAGATTCCATTACAATCTCTTTTCCGCAGAATCTATTTTAACTATCCACATCCCCAAAATCCCCTCAAACATTTGTAATGTCCTACCAAGCTGAGTTGCACTTTTTTTAAAATGGTATATAGGAGGATTCGAAGGAGTGTTAAAAGGGGTGTTAGGGTGAACATAGCGAGTTATGTGCTGGCGTTTGAGCGCCTTTGAGCGCGATCGTTGAGTAAATCCTTTTGTTAGTGATGGTAAAGAGGGGACTATATTTAAGTATGCACTGATCACATTTAGAACATTATGTATTCAAATGTATGTATTCAAATGTTCGTCGTGTTCGCTTAAAAATAAACTCTCTGATGCCGAATTTCTTCATATCTCAACATTTCTTTAATTTTAATGGCCATAACGATTATCGTAAGTTCAGCCTGGAAATTTATTTTGGACCATAAATATAGCTGATTGGTTACCTTTTACAGTTTCAGCTGAAATCGTTTCGTTGAAATTCTCCTCATAACAAAGC